AGCCATAGTGAACAAAAGAACAATATTTTTCAATATCAACATGAAATAGTAGAGTGTTTTCTGCAAAAGTTATGCATGTAAAGCCATTAATCAAAACCAAATAAAATACTATTAATACCCGATATCAACACATACAACTTTGATATTATATTATTGATGTTAATATATTATTATTACAATCTAAAACTTTTATTTCGGATTCAGAACCCTAGTGTTGTCTTTTAGGAGCTATACTACTATCGCAGAAATGGTTGTGAAAAATATTTGTCGACTTTTTCTAAACAGAAACCACGTCGTTCATCCTACTTAATGATAACAAAATCTACATTCGATTGACTCAGTCCATTATAATTCAAATACGAGAAAAATCACGGAAATGCACTCATATTTTGCAGTTTTCACCATCAAATCTCAATTTTTTCTTGAAGCCTACTACAGATATTCAAAATACTATAGTTTCATGATGCTCTTAAGGGTATCCCCTCCTCTCTTTTTCAACCTTGTTGCCAAATACGGGGCACACGTCTCATCCAGCTCAAATTTATACAAGAGAGAACATCGAAAAAGAAACTCGAAGTATTTTTGGCAAGAATTTCATGAGATGTCTTTCTATGGGTTTTCCGGAAAACTCCGGTTATCAACCAGTCACATTACCGCCCCTCGAAAAATGGTCCGATCAAGATCATATTTTTTTCACAGATACTTCAGACCCTATCCCAGGTTCTAATTTTCTTTTTCCGACAATAGTCTTTCCTTCTAGAGAATCTCATTCCACAAAAAATAATGACTTTCCTAGTTTCAAACTAACATACTATCATAGTATGACTCTCACAGTTTAACAGGATCATAGTATCACTTTGATAGTTCCAGGGTATCATAGTATCATAGCATGACCTTCATAGGTTCACAGTTTCACAGAATCACACTATAATAGTGTGACTTTCATAGTTTCATAGTTTCACAGTATGACTTTGGTAGTTTCACAGTATTATACTATCGTAGTATGATTTTCACAGTTTCATAGTACGACTTTGGTAGTTTCACTGTATCAACGTATTACTCTGATAGTTTCACAGTTTCAGACTTTCAGGGTTTCGCAGCATCATAGTATGACTTTGATAGTTCCAGGATATCACAGTATGACTTTGGAACTACCAAAGTCAATCTGTGAAACTACCAAACTCATACTATGATCTCGTGGAACTATCAAAGTCATTCTATGACACCCTGAAACTGCCAAAGTTATACTGTGATACCCTAAAACTAAAAAAGTCATACTATGATACCGTGGAACTATCAAAGTCATACTATGAAACGGTGAAACTATTAAAGGCATATTATGATAGGTGGAACTACCAAAGTGTTATTGTCACATCCGATGTCGTAGTAACCAACAAATGGCGATAGTAACCTTTATGAACTTTGTTCTTATAGACACGCGTTTTAGATAGCCTCAACATCGATTTTTGGGACTGTTTGTACAACAGCTTTATATCAACGTTCAGAGCCGAGACACTTTTCATTTTGTAGAGAAATATTTAATCTACTGAATTATCTAGTTGTCATTTACGATTAGTCTGTAGCTTTATTGCAATAACTTTTCGAAAAAGAGCAAAAAATGGAAGCCGTTAGCTGGACAAGCTGCATACTTCATGTCTTAGTGATACTTTGGAAGCTTCGCGAACTAATGGCTGTTCACTAAATATTTTAATAAAATGTTCAGCTTCAAATGCAGAAATTAAAATAAACATGTTTCGTTATTCAGTTTATAATTAATATCATGTTAACTGGTTTTAAATAATCATTTTGATATTGTTTATTTTTCATATCTATACCAACGATTAATCGTTGGTATAGATATGAAAAGAACACACTCAAGAGACACTGTAGTGTCTAGTAGCAGAACTCTTGAGTGTGTTCTTGTTCCAATTATGTCCAGTTCTGATCAAATTGGTGAATTATTAGCGCGGAATGTGAAAACACGCGTATCTGCTTCTGATGTTTTACAACTATTACTCTAATGGCCCCTATATAATAAGTATGACTTCTCACAGGTAAACACAATCGTGTCTTTACGACTCTTAGCTGCGTCTGTTTTTCCACGAGATGCATTTTATTTTAACGCAAATAGTTTCCGTCATTTGAAAAATGCGATATATGCGTTTTCTGAAATCATTCGCACTTCTCAAAATAACTTCTTTTCGTATTCTTTTGACACTTTGTTTTAATTCTTCGACCAATCTAAATTTTTTTTCGATTTTGTTCCAATCCATCTGCGGCATCAATTTGTTCCACGTGGGAAATCCTAGTTAATATCCTCAAACTATCCAAATCTGAACTGTTTGAGGGGCAGCGATCTTTCGATATGAAGGGTGGTAAGTTATCAGAACACCATTTTTGTATTCGATGACGTTTGTGAGGAAGTACCCCATCCTCTTGGAACGCTCCGTCGTTCCCCCAAAACACGGTTACTATACTCCTTGACCATGAGTGAAACGCCCTGGATATAGCACGCATGGTTCACCGTTCTGTTGTCGAAAATCATGAAAGCTGTCACACCTTCCACGCACACGCCCAACCAGATCATCACTTTCGTTGGAAACTGTCGTTTTCTCTTGATACCACGCTTCTTATAAGCTTCGACACTGTTTATTGCCTATACTCTATCATTTTGAGAGCTGTAAGCCCATCGATATTGAAGATTTTTTCATCAAAAAACAAGACTGTTTTGGATCCATTTGGCAGACTTCTTCCTGTTGGCTTTCTGATCATCCGTGAGGGCCAGTTCTTTGACGATCTTGTACGGCTTGCATCCTGGATCGTTTCTGAGTATACGATGAACACTTGTATCGGATATTTTCAACTCCTGGACAACTTTCTTTCGGATATCCTTTTCTTACAATTCACTTGTTGCTTTACCTTTCGACTAGCAGCTGTGGTTCGGGTAGGGAGTGGCTAATTAGATGGTTTTGATAAATTGATAGAGTCATGATTTTTTGACTATTTCTGCCCAGCGTTTGATTGTCGAGCACCATTTAAATCGCGAAATTGGTCGGATACTCTCTTTTTCGCATTTGGAAAGTAACGGGTGTGCCATAATAAATGTTAATGCATTATTTTTCCACTTCTTCTGAAGATAAAAAGTTTCTTTATATAAGCCAAAAGATAGAGAATTTCAAGCTCTACAACACTATATCTTTCTTTCAAAAAACATATTCTCCTTCACGCTGTAACATTTGATACACTCGATTAGTCCAGCTTGTCATACTGCGACGCACCACTTCCATTCTTAGCTCTTTAACAGCTTGTTTAATTTGATGAATTAATGTCTGTTTGTTTGTAATACGACTCCAGTTCGTCTGCTCGCTACGTTCAGACCATATACAATAGTCCAGAGGGTTGAGATCTGAACTATTTGGCGGCCAGTGTCCATAAGACCAAAGATCTGGAAAATGTTGTTTGCACCATGACCGTTTTCCGTTCTTATGAGGCGATGCACCATCTTGTTGAGAAATAAAGTCATTGCCTAATAATCTTTTCCCATCTTTCAATGCTAGGGGAAGAATTTCTTCGATGTATCGAGCAGCATTAATTGTACCTTTTTCAATGATAACTGGTCTTCTGACCCCTTGATAACAGGATTCCAACCATACCATAACATGAACCGGATGTTGCGTTTTGCAATGCATACTACCTTTGCGATCAGCTTCTTCACGTGTGAGAGCATAAATTCGATCGTTCTGTTTGTTATAAATTCCATCGATATCAAAATACTTCTCGTCGGAAAATAAAATTTTTTCCGTCATTGATTTTCGAATATTTTTTCGAACCCAAATTCCGAACAATCTTCTTTTTATTTTATGTTGCTCAGTAAGCTTTGGCGCCACTCGTTTAACATACGGTTTCAAACCAGATCCTCTTTAATAATTCGACGCATGGTGGTATGAGATACTTTCATTTCTTTCGCCAATATTCGTGAAGATGTTTTCTTCTTTCTTGATAGACGTTGTTTTACCTTCTGAATTAGAGTTTCTGTGCGAATTATTCTCGGATGACCTTTTGGACTCGTTAAATCGATGGTGCCAGATCTGTTGATTGATTTTACCCAAGAATAAATTGTTGCTCTTGAAGTCATGAAGAAACATTTTATTTGAAGAGCAAATAAGAAAAAAATGCATTAACATTTAGTCTACTTAATATGGCACACCCGTTACGACTTGCTAAAGATCTTTCGTTTTCAAAAAATATTCAAATTTTCGAAATGATCCTTTGTGTAGAGAATTTGACGGCGCACCTTTCGATAAAAGATTGATAGGAAAATGTTAATAGGAAAAGAAGAGTGATAGTTAAAATACTCAGAGGTTCATTATTTCTGAAGTATGTGTTATAAAAATATGCGTATGTAAACCTTCTAATAAAACACCGAAGCTATTCAACATGAGATATAAATTGAGATTGAGTTCAAAACAGTAATAAATTAATCTTTTCAAGTATTAATAGTAGAAAAAGATAAAAACGTACTTTTGAGTGTCTGGTTTTTCTGCCAAATGTAAATTAAAATCTAAATTTTATCAAGTTCGAAACTATATCTCAGTCAGAAATTATCTAATAATTAATAAATCTGTTATCGTTATATTCAATTAATTGTGTTCGATCTTCTATCAGCAACTAGCTAAGACAGAAAGCACAACTTCGCAACAGCAATGCACAGTGGGCAATAATGTGGACATTAGGCGAAAAATTGAAAGTGTGCCTTTTTGAAATTTAAATATTGCAACATGTACTCTGAATAATGGGCTATTTATTAGTGTTAAAATTTTTCAGACAAGTGCAAAAATTTCGTAAAAAATGCACAAGTGAAAAGGAGCTTGTATATCTGCGACCTTTATGGAAAAACAATATTTTTCTTAGATTTGACACATTTAACATTTATTTAAACGTATGTATTCGGATTCTATGAACTTTTAGCTATCGATTCCGCATTAAATGCATAAAATGCATTGTTTGCGGGCTTAAGTGTCTGTAAACCAGTTTTTTCTTTCCACGCTATGTGTCACCCAAATGGCTATTCTTCAGTAAAATAAGCGCGCCATCGTTAGCCATCATCCAAATTCGACGAAACTTTCACAGAATATTCTTCTACT